GTGATTAATGCATACCAGCTCCTATAACTGAGGATGCACAAATGAGTGGTAACATTTTTGCCCTCTCTACCTTTAGCTCCCCAGTCAGAATGATTAGATGTTCATTTATAGTTGGTTTAAGTAGGGGCAGTCTTTGGTCTGAGTTTGAAATAACTGCATTTGAACTCTCACTTCTGGAGCGATAATAAGATGCCTCACCCACTCTGCCACCAATCCCCTGTAGCCTATTAATAATTGTAATTGTAACTTTGTATGTTTTAACCATTTTCTTGTATATACAAAGGGTTTGTCCTGTTTTCATTCTGCAGGTTGTTCTGTTTCCTATCTTGTTTGTGCTGCTGCTGAGGCCAGATTCAGTTCTCATTGTTCAGCACAAATAGTTGAAAGCTATTTATTAAGGAATCCAGGATCAGGTTTGGAGAAGTCTCCTGCTGATTAGAGAGCTGGAACTCTTAGTAAGCCTCAGGGCTGAACTGTTTTGTCAGACTATGAGAGCAGGTGGATTTGCATGGCTGTGGATCCCGTGCCCTAAATTGCCAGACTTTATTATCTTAGAGAGAGAGTTACCTGTGTTAGTTTGAAGTTAAGACAGAAGGCAGGGTAGGCTGGCATCTTATAGACCATCTCGTTCAGAGAGGCATGAACTTTTGTATTCTGCAGTCTAGTAAGAAGTAGTAAGCAAGTGGGCTGCATAGTTTATGAAAGTATAGGCCTCTCTGGATCAGTTAATCTTTAAACTGATGCACTGTACTGCCTTCATTGTTATCTTAGGTGCTGAGCAGACATTCATTTTTACTGGTGGAAATTCTCTGAGAAATATCCACCAGTAGAACTCTTCCCAGGAGAGGGAGCATACAGGTGTTCAGCCTGCAACTGTCCCCTCTCCTCTGGTTTCCCTTGTTGAACAGGGAAATATCCTTAATAATGCAAATGGGGTTGTTAATCCTAATTAAGGATCCATCTGAAAGGGGTGGAACCTCAACCTTCACTAACTGTAATCCTGCAGCCCAGCTCTAATTAGTGAAATATAATTAACTAGCAGTAAACGACAGACACGGTATAAAGGGGTAATAGTAACTATAGTATCTAAACAGCAACAATGTAAACAACAACCAGCCAGTAAACCCCATTATCAATAATATATCAATAGCAATATCTGATATCGACAATAATATAAGCCAAAGCAATGCAATGCTATCCCAGAGAGGGCACTAGAGAACATGTACAGCTTCTCATATGCTAGCTGCCAGTGAGCCAGTGATCTCTATAGCAGGACTTCTCACACAGACTCACCTGGAGTCACAGCATCAATAACTAGGCACTCTTCAGGTGATCACCAGGCACACTGCAAGCACTGAATCAACACTACAGAGGTATTGGTCCCTTGGACCCTCACCCTGCATGCATACCCACATGGGCGACTGGTGCCCTCTGAGTTTGGGGGGCTACCAGCAGGGTGTGACTGGGGGTGGGGAGCCCCAGCAGCCGGTTGCTGAGCACACAGGCAGCATGGCAGTGATGGCAGAAGTGCCATCACTTCCACTTATGGCACACTGACGGCAGAAGTGCCGGCACTTCCGCCACTGACGTGCTACTGGCAGAATCAATTTTAGGGAGGACACAAGCACTCCTACCAGTCAGAGCGCTTGCTGTCAGGGGGTGCCCCCCTGTGCCCCACTACATGTTGCCTATCCATACCCACAAGTGAGAAGAGTTTGGCCTCCCAGGCCCTTACGCTCTTGTTGGGTTACAGTCTCTTCTGCCACTCTCTCACCAACCATAGGAAGTGCAGTCACATGCTGGACCATGCTGGCCTTTGGCCTCCCAGGCCCCTCAGCCACAGCATTCCAGACATGCACTCACCAGCACCCACATGTAAGGAACCCATTCATTCTGCAAGAGACCAAGATCCCTTGGTCTGGTCTCTTTTGCAACTTTCAACACACCACCTCTGTCAGTCATACTTTGGACCATTCATCCTCATAGATTCATTCATCCAAATACCAATCACATCACTGCTTACCTCCAAGAAGGTGACAGTTACCAACTTGGCATTTGGCATCAAAAAGTTAAATAACATGGAATGTACTGGGCATGCTCAGACTTCAAAACTAGGTCATTACTTCACCCATAGGTGAGAAATTCATCTTCTCTGCAAACTTCTGATCCTTGAACTCACAGAACATGTGTGGCACTATGTTGACTACTTAACTTCTACTCAAAACTACTAACAGGCCACAGGATGCACCACCTTGTGGCCTATACCCTGCTTTCCCCAGACTGGGCTAATCCCAGTCTGGGAAAGGCATGGAAGGCAGCAGCTGCTCTACTCTCCCTGCCTGCTCCTTGGGACTGGGAGAAGACTTCCCATACCTTCCCCAGACTGGGATCTGGGGAACAGGTGGAGAGCAGCCTGCTCTACTGCTTCCAGTGTTTGGGAGCAGAGCAAAGGGAGCACTGGAGGAAAGCCCTCAGCTCCTTCCCCAAGCTAGGTGGTACCTGGTGTTGGGAAGAGGCAAGAAGCATTGGTGACTGCTTTGGGAAGGTGAGAAGCAGGCAATGCCATCCCCACCCATTTACCAGACTGAGGACTATGACAGTGGTGGCAGTTTAAAAGCCAGGGGGACTGGGAACATGCTTGAGGATGCTCTTTCCAAGCTGGGGCTGCGGCCAGTGCATGCTGCACGTAGTACTTGGGATCAGGGCCAGTGTGTTGGGCTCATTGAAGACCCACAGGTGACACTGTGGGCTGGGTGATAGGGCTTTGCGGGCTGGATCTGGTCCACAGCCATATCTTTGACTTCCCTGCTTTACACCATAGGATTGCCAGTAGGCCATGAATTTTGCCTTATCAGAGTGAGCATTTCCACATGCTATTGTGAGATCAGTCTGAGATCAGTCAGATGTTTTATACTGATGCTCCAGCACAATGTGTAGTTATAGCTACAGTGAAGCATCATAAATAATTGTCTTATTGGGATTATATATAGTAGCTAACACGCACACCTTGCTCACAAAATTAACTTTAATGTACAGATTCTAAACTTGAAAATGGTATTAGTGTTAAGTGGCAGCTGTAGGAATGTTGGTGTCCAATAAGTTAGTTGTCTTTTAGTTGTGTGGGAAACTATTAAGCCACACTGAAGAACATATGAACATGGGAGGACAACCCTGTGCACTGTTTTGCCTACTTTTTTTCTAGTTACTCTTAACATTTTTTTAAATCAATTTACAGTTTTTTTTAGTTTAATTTAATTGTTCTATTTCTAATTTTTGAATACAGAAGATATGACAGCTCCTTCAAACACGTGTGCACATACCATCTCAGTTACAGAAAATTGAAATAATAATGTCCATTACATGCACTTATATTGGAATCGTCCTTGGCCCTGCATAAGGTCTGTTAGTAGAAGATGTTAAAAGACTGTTATGAGATGTACTTTGTCATTTAAACTCAAGTCTGTTGGCTAGCATAGGGAAATAGGGAGAAATTATAAGTCATGTTTATACCTATTAAAATAATTCTTATAATGCCCTATTTTCAAGTGAATATGAAAAACGTAAGAGTTGCTGTGTTTGTAAGATGCATGCAAAATTTATATTTTACATGCTGTATTTATTCTAGGTTTTTTTTTTTTTTAAATCTGTGCGGGCCGCCTCCCGATCCTGTCCATGTCGCCATGTGCGAGCCGGGAGCGATATGCGGACCCGTCTTTGCACACGCGGGCTGTGGCCAGCAGCCCGGGCACGCGGGGTCAGAGGAGACCGTGCGGCGGCAAGGCACGCACGGGCTAGAATTAGTCACAGACGCGTAGTGGTTGATTCAAAGATTATTTACTTACACCCAAGATGGTCGCGGTGTAGGCTGGACAGTTTCCCAGGTTCAGCTCCGCTTAAATCCTCGTTGGAGGACTACGACAAACTCGGTTCTTGGGCCCCAGAGTTGTTAAGGCTCCGCAGGTTCGGCAATTCTTTCCCAACGGAGTTGTCGAAGCTTCGTGGGTTTGGTTCTTGAGTATATAGAACAGGGATACGTCTAGGATTGCGCTCGGCGACGGGGAGAGGCCAGAGGCTATTTAGACCTCTGTTGCCTTCTTAAGAAATGCGTTGGGTTCGTAAGGATCCACAGCGCTTAGAGATCTTCGCGCTCTCCCTCTCGGACTCCAATTGCTTTCTCTCCAACTTGGGCGGAAACCACCCAAGCTCTTTATACGGCTAGCAAGCCAATTGCTAGCCGCCACGTGTGCATAATTTAACACAAGCCAATAATGGGGCTCGAATTAAAATACAAATGGCGGGAACTCCTTTAAACCGTGCATCTCTGAGATGCAAAAGAAATGCACCATGCAAAGGAAGCTATAAATTGGCGGGAAAATTCTCCGTTGCACCGGAGTTCTCCTTTACAGCAGAAAACTCCACCATGCAAAGAAGCTGTAATTTGGCGGGAAAATAATTTAGCAGTGCCGAAGCACACACAAAACAAAAACTCACAACTTTGGGTTGTGACAAAATCTAGTCTTCAAACCCTTTAAATTTGTCAAACGAGAGACTTTACTTCCATTTTTGATGTTTCATAAGCTTTGGTTTAAAGAATGCACAATGAAATCCTGAACATTTTACATTTTAACAAGCATATGTTTGTAAGTCACTTGTGGCTGTTTGTCACGAGTTAACTGGCCTCCCCTCACTCAAGGGACATTTCTAATTTTCAAGCTGAAATACTTTGACTTTCAGCTGCTTTTTTTTGGCCTGGCTTTGATTTATACAAATGCTAATGATACAGTTCTGAATCTGTGGGTGTACGTGTTTCACATGGTCATACACATTTTTAAAGTACTGGCTCCAGTGCCGTTCTATTTGTGATGTTGGTACATAAATACAATATTTTCCAAATGAAATTCCAGTAAGTAATTTTCATAATTTTTTTTCTCTTGTGGATGCATAGCTAAAGCCATCTTAAGAATTCTTTACCTAAACTTAAATCTTTATTGTTTCCACAGGAATTGGATGGTATCACCTTCATTGGACCTGACACGCATGCTATTCAAGCTATGGGAGACAAGATTGAAAGCAAATTGTTAGCCAAGAATGCAAAGGTCAACACAATCCCTGGTTTTGATGGGGTAGTCAAGGTGAGAAACTGTTTACTCTACAATCAAATTGCTTAAATAAAAGTAATGTAATTACAAATTCAGTGTTAGTGAAAAATGTGATAGAAAAGTGTCATGCGCTGGCTTTTATTGGTTAGAAAGCTGTCGATGGTGGGGGGGGAAGTCATTAGAGTAATGGAGTAAATTATCAGATATTAGACAGTATACTAAGGGCTGCAAACAAAAAAGGTAGCATCTCAAAGCACTCTTACCTTTTTTTTATAAGAAAGATAATATCGTACATTATATGTTGCAATGTAAGACAGATGAATGAGGTTAATACATCAGGTATGGGTTTGTGTGTGCATGCATATATATGCCTTCATGCATGAATTTTTTTCTTATTTTTTTCACTTTCAATAACTATACTAACGTTATTGTGAAAAAGTATGGCTAAAGATTATACATCAAGTATGTATGTCTAGCAGTCGTTTCACAGTGATGATGAAGTTTGATAAAACTTATCCATATTGCATTACTTTCCATACTGATTCTGTTATAGACTTGTACATATTGTAAGACTGATTCTGTAAAAAGATGTGAGGGGGGATTCTTGTATTATGGAGTGTGTTTCTTCCTTTTAGGAGGAGTTCTTTGGGTTACAGTAGTTTGCTGAAACATCTTTGTTATGTTTCTTTTCACCTCATACAGTCTAAATACAGAGTCTGGCTTTTAGTTTTCCTTCAAAGTTTTGATTGCACTGGTGGTCATCCTTCCTTGATTTTTTTTCTAATCTGTCTTTATCCCCCTTCCTCCCCCAGCTCCTGCCATTCTGTACATGTCTGTTTATAGGCTGGATTTTGTAGGGGGTTTTTTTGGTTGGGGTTTTTTAATTTTTTTTTTTTTTTAAATAAGCCGCTCCATTTGGGATGAAATTTCTAATGCTTAATCTTTAACCTGAAGTTGATTTTTTTTTTTTTTAAATTAATGAGAAGTCATTTCGAATAATTTTTTAATTATGAAATAAAAAGGGAAAACATTTTCCATTGAAAAAGAATATGAATAATTTTAAACTTAGCTGCAGAAAAAATTGCTGACGTTTGAATCTTGGTACTTGGCATTGATCAAAGCTGACTTGTATGATGAAACGTGTTTTTGAAGATGATTTTGAATTATTTTCTTGATGGAATTTTGACCATGCCTTAATGATCAGTATATATCAGGGGAAATAATGTTTAGTATTGTGTCATCTAACCAAGATTAAATCATGCTATTGTTTCTTGCAGCAAGAAACCTCAGCGTGATTTAATCTTGGTAAGGAATGAGTAAGAGTGAAAAATTTAATAGAAGAGAGGGAAGAAAAGAAACAGGGTGTAGAAATGACAAAGAAGGGGAGGCAGCCTTTTTATTTTAACCTATTCTGTCTTTTCCTAGAGCAGGAGAGGCTAGTATGACTTTGATGAAAGTACTTGTGCTACCACAAGTGCCACGAGACATGTCTCTACAAATCCATTCATTCCTATGGCCATGCCTCTGTGGGTTGGCCCAGGAAGGATGTAGATAATGACAGCATGTTTGGATGCTCAATCACCACATTTCTACATGCACTAGGCAAAAACTGTTGATGTTGCTAATAATGCAAGTGCCTGGTGTCTGTGGTGTCTGAAGGACTCTTGTGTTAAGAGATACATATTTGTCCAAGCAGTTTATAATTAAGAGTATGCTGCCTTTGATCAAAGCTTTACAAATCCTCTTTCTATACTGTTCTGTTCTGCTCTGGTGTAGCGCTAGGATTAATGGGAACCCTGATGTCTTGCAGCAGTAACAATTGGACTGTATCTCAGACCTCTTCTAAGCTAATTGTGCCACTGAACCATGTATAGAAGCTTCACTAAAAAAACTTAGTAACAGTTAAGTTGTGCCTTAGCTGATCTCTATTATTCCTGATGCCCTGTCTTTCATTCTGCAGTTCTAGGAATTGCGGCCTGCACATGGTGTATGTTCTGCTTAATCGATATCAAATGAGTAGGCCATGTTGAATTAAACAGCCATCAAAGTTTTTATTTTTCACACAAAATCACCTAATGTTACAGGAATATTTAACATTCAAATTTTGCATAAACCTTTAATAGTAATAACCGTTTCATGGGTTGTTTGTTTATGGTTAGTCTAGTCCAAAAATATCCACAAAATTGGATAAATGTTTAATAATATTTAATACCACAACCAGTAAAACTAATAGAGAAGATTACCTAACTACAGGTACTCAAGTGGGTTGCCATGCTTCTTGAGTTATCTCAAAAGGTTCAAGATGCCCAAAAAAGAAATGAGAACTGCTAGCAATGTAGATGGTAGCCAATTGCACTTTGACCTTTACATCAAAATGTGAATAGCCCTACCTCCCAGCCTTCAGTATCTGGATGATCAGCACTTAACTTGGATGAAATCTGGTCTTCCTCCAAAACTCCCCCCACCAAATTAAATAAGATTAGAAAACTGAACAAATCAGAATAACTTTTAAAACAAAGGGCACTAATGGGGTTACTATTTTGAATTGTTGGGAAGAAAGAGGAAGATTATTTCATTTTAAATGTTGCAAGGTTCTCTTATAAGAAGTGTGTGAACCAATGCTATTCCTACACATAGAGTTGAAGCTTTGAAAAGAAGTGAGGTTGAGTTGTCTGGAGACAGCATGTGACAATGGTGATGCATAGGGGGTGCACCTACACCCCCTGAGAATGCTGGTGTACCCTCTGGCAGCAGTGTTTCCGGGTAGGGGGGGCAGGTGAGAGCACTGGTGCCCCCCCTGAGAGTGCCAGCCGAGGAATGCGTCAGGAGAAGTGGTCCTACCTGGAAGTGCCAGCGGCGTGCCACTGCCGGTTGTGGGTCGGCAGAATTGGCCTTAGTCGCTGACTGTCCGCTAGGGGAGCAAGTGCCCCCCCAACTCAAGAGGTACCAGTCGCCCATGGCATGTGACAGTTAGACCCAAGGGGAGAACCCTCATTGCCAGAAGTGAAAGAGGAGAGCATCTTCTGAACTTGATGAGTGGAGTGACTACCTGGGTCACACAATGCGATAGGGCTGGTGTTCCCTAGTGCACAGTGTGGTTTGCCATTTTCTACCTAGCCCAGGATATAAAGAAGAGGTAGTGAGGTTCTAAGCAGGTATAACTATAGGAACAACATGCCTAGGACATGGTAGTTAAATCTCAGAGACTTAAAAACCTTTACGTTCTATCTTTTAAGTGGACAGCTGCCTGATCAGATAATTGGCGAGCTTCCATACTCTTCTGTGGTTTGAATCTCTACCTGACTCTTCACCCCTCTTTATGGGTTGGGACTTCTAAAAGTCCAAAGGACAGTTTTGTACCTGTTTCCTCTGAAAGTTTTAGGGAGTTTAATGCCTAACTCCCTCTTGTTCATTTTTACCTTATCAAGATGGCTTCTTTCCATTTGGTCTAGGAAGTATTTCAGTCTGTACTGGCCCCAATAAACTGGACAGAAAAGTGCTTTCACACTTATATGTGAAGAGGATTTGACTATAGAAGTTAGGCAGCTAAAATTTTTTGGTGGTTGAGTGGGGAAGGTAGGCATAAGAATGATTAACTGCTTCCAGTTTGTCATTGTCTTAACTCAGTTCAAAACTGCATTAAAAGAAGCTTATTTTGGCTGAAGTGAAGAGCAGTGGCTTTTTATTAGGCATCATGTAATCAGTGCTGTGAATGCTTTTTTTGAGTGCTTCACAAATAAAGACTAAGAAATGTGTCCCCTTCTTCAAACAGCGTATCATTTAAGGTACGAGAAACAGTCAAAGGTCTAAACACGGACAACTAGTTTAGGGAAAAGGGGCTGTGAAGGTGTTATAGCTGAGAGTGAAGTACTGTTTAGCTGAAAGGATTTTTTCAAGGGTTTGCTTTTAAGCAGGGTTTGAAGATAGAAGAAGAGGGTGCTTGACATGCAAGAAATGAGAGACTATTCCCAGATGTGTGGGCAGCATAAATGAAAGCATGAAATGAAGAAGAGATGAAGGGTCCTTGGAGGAAACAGTATTGGGAGTATAGTGAAAGTGAATTGGAGATTAAGGGGAAATGAGAACTGAGATGCAAGCAAGGGTGGCATGCTGGACCTTGAAAATGAGAATGAGGATCTTAAATCTCATACAGTGAGATTTAAGAGAACCATTAAAGATGGCATGATGGTTTGAGAACATGTGGCCTTTAGCATCCATTAGTGTGGTTAGATTGGAATGGGGAAGTGAAAAATAGGAGACCAAAAGTAAAAGAGTAGTAATCAAGCTGAACAATGACAAAACTTGAGTGTTGATTAAAAGCGGTGTACTACGATTTTTCTACAGTGTATAAATGAAGGCCATGCTGGATAAAACAATCAAAAGGGAGAAAATGGGTGGTGGGGAAGAGGAGAGAATGTGGGGGTGGTGAAGAGACAAGGAAAGATTTTATTGCTAGATAGTATATAGTTTTGTTTGTATAACTATGACATATCTATACCATGTCAGCATCTTATAAAGTGAACTTGGGCTCATGAAAGCTTGTGTTCTATATATAAATATAGATCTATATCTATATCTTATTTAGTTAGGCTATAAAGGTGCATATCTACCCTGCCTTCTTACACCATGTCAAATTGTGCTAGGGAGTGCCACAATAAAAAACGCTACAAACTTGCTTCTGCTCTGCATGCCAAATGTTGAAGAAATGTCACGTAGCTGCTTGAACAAGACATACCCAAGCATGAGAGCAGTGCTGGCATGTGCCAAAACGGGTATTTTTTTGGTATTTGGCATGCATAAAGTGGGAGCAAGGCAGAACAAGTGTTTCTCACTTGGGCTCCTTATGGTTTGATGTAGTGTAGACATATTCTAAATTTAGCAGTGCTCAATGAGGATCCAAGAAGTTTATATCTGCAGGTGAAATCTTGGACTCATTGGAGTTTGTGGGAATTTTTTAAACTAAATTCAGTGGTACCATCTTAAATCTCATACAGTGAGATTTAAGAGAACCATTAAAGATGGCATGATGGTTTGAGAACATGTGGCCTTTAGCATCCATTAGTGTGGTTAGATTGGAATGGGGAAGTGAAAAATAGGAGACCAAAAGTAAAAGAGTAGTAATCAAGCTGAACAATGACAAAACTTGAGTGTTGATTAAAAGCGGTGTACTACGATTTTTCTACAGTGTATAAATGAAGGCCATGCTGGATAAAACAATCAAAAGGGAGAAAATGGGTGGTGGGGAAGAGGAGAGAATGTGGGGGTGGTGAAGAGACAAGGAAAGATTTTATTGCTAGATAGTATATAGTTTTGTTTGTATAACTATGACATATCTATACCATGTCAGCATCTTATAAAGTGAACTTGGGCTCATGAAAGCTTGTGTTCTATATATAAATATAGATCTATATCTATATCTTATTTAGTTAGGCTATAAAGGTGCATATCTACCCTGCCTTCTTACACCATGTCAAATTGTGCTAGGGAGTGCCACAATAAAAAACGCTACAAACTTGCTTCTGCTCTGCATGCCAAATGTTGAAGAAATGTCACGTAGCTGCTTGAACAAGACATACCCAAGCATGAGAGCAGTGCTGGCATGTGCCAAAACGGGTATTTTTTTGGTATTTGGCATGCATAAAGTGGGAGCAAGGCAGAACAAGTGTTTCTCACTTGGGCTCCTTATGGTTTGATGTAGTGTAGACATATTCTAAATTTAGCAGTGCTCAATGAGGATCCAAGAAGTTTATATCTGCAGGTGAAATCTTGGACTCATTGGAGTTTGTGGGAATTTTTTAAACTAAATTCAGTGGTACCAAGACTTTGCATGTTTTTTTTTTAGGCACCTGTTTTAGATATGTTCATGAGCTGGGTCGAAAGACAAACTGGAAGTTGGAGATTAATAACTGATGGCTTGTTAGTTTGGTTTTGCCTAGTTGCTATATACCAGGCAAAATGTCTTCTTTCCAGAAACATTTTCTTTCTAACTAATAAAATATTTATAGCTCTAGGACAGGGGTCGGCAAGGTTTTTGGGCAGATGCCAAAAACTCTCACAACCTCAACTTGTAAGATGTTGGCATGCCAGGGGTGAATGGCAGGGGAGTTGCGAGGGGCTTGATCCTTGTTGTGGCTGTGCAGCCCCAAGGTGCGAGTGCCAAGCAAAATGCCTTCGCGTGCCACATTCTGGCACAGGTGCTAGGGTTTGCCTACCCTGCTCTAAGAGTCAGCAAACAAATTGAGCTAACCATCCAAACATCAAAGCAGTTTTGCATTTTCTTTTTTTTTAATCTGGCCAGAGAGGTAAAAAAAAAAAAAAAAAAAGAACAGGTAAGAAACTACTACTACTTAAATGAACAGAAATAACTATTTTATATTGTTTGAATTCAAAGATGGTATAATCAGCCATTAAAAAAATATTATTGTGACATCATTTTTATAAAAGGTTGTAGTTTTATAAGGCTATTTAATAAAATAGTTATTTTTTCCTTAACACTTTATTAAAATAATTTCCCAGAGTTATATTTTTTCTAATCTCTGCTTATTTTAGGAAAATAAGAGCATAGCTAATTTGATTTTATAGGAAATAGTAGTAAATCAATGGAACCTTGGAAAAAAAGAGAGATTAAATTATTTCAAAATACTCTAACCCCTTCATGTTTTCTTTGTCTGTATTCCAGATATGAACTTATACGTTTTTGCAGCACAGTGTACATGAATCTGAGTTTCTTTTCTTCATAGGAAGTGTATAGTATGTCTGTCATAGCTTCCTAGCATCAAAGTCTAAAAATAACTGCCTTAAATTTTTATTGGAATTTGGACACTTGCCACATATTTATGCACTCTGTAAATTAAAAGCTCTATATTAAAGTTACTGTTTC